AGGGTGTGTCTTTCTGCATCTTTGATAACTCTTTATAACTCTTTGTTTTTTTTTTTTTTTTTTACCATTCAATACTATAAAAATGATCTTAATTGCTTTAACATCTTATTCTTTGGACCCTAATGATGTAGAGCATTGTTCCCTGGGCCTTTGAATTTTTTCTGTTAATTGCTTGTTTTTGTTATTTGCCTATTTCCCCTGAGTATTTATCTTTTTTTTTTTTTTTCCATTTATTTGTGAGAATTCCCTGTATATCAACCATAGGACACTTTCGCCATAGGTACCAAACATGGATTCTTTATACGGCACTCGCCCTTACATTTTGTTTATGGTTTTTAACGTACAGAGGGTGAAGTGTACCAATGTTTCCATTATGGTTTATTTATGCCTTCGGAGTTACACCGGGAAAGCTCTTCCTCATCCCAAGATGATTTACTTGTAATTTCTTCTAATTCCTCTAGTGTTTTCTGAACTTACATTTAACCATCTAGAATTCAACCTGATAGGATGTCGACAGCATTCTGGCTTTGAGTCCTTTGACACAGAAGTCCTGAGATGGGGGGTTACCAGAGGGAAAGGTTTTCTGCCTGTTATCCTACTTGTCACTTAGGTGTAGCCCCCTCTCTCCCATTAGCTAGCTAGCATCTCTCTGTCTATCCTCTCTGCTCCTATCTAAGCACTGTTGATTAACCCCAAACCCCATCTCTCTCTCTCTTTCTGTTCCTTAAAAGTTTCTCAGACCTTGGTTAGTCAACTTCATGAAACATCTCAAAATGCTAGTAGAGTTGACATAAACATGGTAAGCTTGGACCAGGGGTATTTTTGTGGTCTCAGTATATCATTTTAGAAATCAAATTGTAGGTTTTTGTCCTTCTCCCTTCACTTCTAATGGAAACAAAGATCTATAAGTTCCACTCAAACACTTAGGCAATGAGAGTAATCAAGTGTTGATAGTCATCACTTTTAGACGACAGTAAGAATAAACAGAAATCCCACATGTCTCTAAGTTGTTATATGTTTCAGGGAAAATCTTACCAACTTTTTCCATGAATTGTTACCTTTTTTAAGGACTATATGCCTGTGGAGTTTTTTTCCTTAAACATACGTTGTTGGCATTGCAAGAACGTGTTGGGAAGAAAACATAGTTCAGACACAGAAAAAGGCCAGTTTTCCTGTTATTTCGGTAAACCGTGGGCAAGGCTAAGTTCCACAAATAAACATTCGGTTACTAGTCTTAAATGTTGTGGCCACTTCACGAGGATAAATATTCTAATGCTGAAATCCACGAACAGCTAAGAATCACAAAGTGCGATCCTGTTTAAGAATCACAGGCCTGCAGATATCAACACAGGATGTGGTTTTATGTATTCAGGCCCCAAGTATCTTTAATACTATGTGGCTTTAAGAAGGGCTGCTGGAATGTCAAAGGCTTCCACCTTCCCCAAGCATCATTCAGATTTAGAAATGCTCGTAACTGCCCCTAAATAGCCAAGTCACCTATAATTTTAGTAATTTCCATTTATGCCTCTGGGGAAGTGTTGTCATAAACACCTCCCCTGGCACTTTTGAGTCCTGAGTTCATGCTGTAAATAGCTGAGCTGGGGTCTGGTTTTAGGTTATAATTTTTGTTTTGCTCTGAAAACAGGGATGGAGTCCTTGCCTTTGTGCACAGGGCTGACCCAAGGCATACAGGAGGAGGCAGAGTGGCTGCTCATTGTCGTGTCCCCAGGTTCCCCTGTTGGTGTCCACTCTGCTAGACCTGACCCTTCCTTCAACTGTTCCCAGTAGTGCTGCGTTCACCCTTGGCATGATTGCCAAGACCAGCCTTCTGTGCAGAGTGGTCTGATGGTCTTTTTGGAACCCCATATATTCATGAATTCATGGGGAAAAAGACAATATTTAATCTCTTCACCAGAGATGGACAATCGATTTCACCTTGCAGACCAGCTCCAGACCTTGGTAGTGTGTATTTATGGAGTGTTGAGTTGAGAAGGATTCTCAGGCCCCGGGTGAGCTTGGACTGGTAAGAATCTAGAGGAGCCCTAGGATAGCGTTGTCTGCAAGGGATCCAGGGCAGAGAAGAGGCAGCATAAATACAATAAACCCTGCTCTAAGTTGTTCTGAATCCTCCTCAGCTCAAATCTTTCTCTGTCAACGTCAAAAAGGTTCTGTTTTGTGAACTACGGCTCTTTCCCTCTGGACCTTGCTATTTGCTAATTTTGCTGGGAGCTTTCTGCTGCCAACTTTTTCCTTTTAGTGAAATGACCTTCTAAAGAGCTCACCAGGACCAAAATGCAACTCTGGTGGCATCATGGCACGGTGAGGAGGGAGCTTGTTCGGGAACAGGGAGCATTTTACTGCTGTTCTAAACGGTACCTCATTGTGTATGGATGGATAAGGCTGTGGGAACCATACAAATTCCTTGTTTTTCTGTATTACTTTTTCCTCCTCCCTGTAAGGTGAAGTGATAGCTTTGGACTAAGTTTCAAGGTTCTTGTCTTGGGTATTTTAGCTCTTCAGTCACTCAGACGTAAGGATGCTTTTCCTACTCCCCAGCCCCCCACCAAATGGTGCTCTGCTTGCCTGAGAACCTGCTCTTTATGGAAACTTACGCATTTACTGATAACAAAGATCATGATATGTATTGGGGGATATTCTTTTATTTGCAACAAGCTAGTTGGTTTCAACTTTCAACCCCAGGTCACTTGATGTGTGTAGCAAAGATGAAGGCTTTTTAAAAGAGATGAGGCCAGGAAATCTGAGAGGAAAATAATAAGCTA